ACACACACACACATAACACATAAGCACAAACACAAAGGCACTCACATAAAACTCAAACAGGCACACCCCCCCCCCATGGTTTTCTGTACCAGGAACTGATTCCCGCATTATTTGTTCTACTAGTCAATCATCGAACTCAGCTGCACTGCCAAACGCTTAGGTGTTGCAGTCTGGAACTTAAAAGGCTCACCAGACAAACAACAACAACCAACTGGCCCTGAGATCGAATAAAAAAAGAAGTTTGCAATGGATTAGACACAAACGAAGGAAAACAGTCCACAGAGTGATAGGACAAAATCTAAGATGGAGCACGCGGGGGAGGAGGAAGAGAGGAAGGCCGAGATACACCTAGAAGTGAGACCTGGAGGCAAATCCCAAGCAAATTGGACACAGCTGGCTGGAGGTGGAGACCATCGACCAGAACAGACACAGACAGGTGAAGAACCCTTTTCAGCGGTCCATAATATGATGAAACAAAGGATGTAAACCTCTACCCCAACCCAAATGTTTGTCAGCCCTTGTCGCAGGACCACTTTCGATCCGACAAAGGAAAGATTTGGGCGATTGCTAAGATTCCCGCCTTTAATTCCGATATGCGTTTTTTACAGCCTCAGGCATGTTTCACTTTGGTCCCTAACCCTAACCCTAACCCAGACCCTAACCCTAACCCTAACCCTGACCCTGACCCTGACCCTGACCCTGACCTTGACCCTAACCCTAACCCTAACCCTAACCCTGACCCTAACCCTGACCCTAACCCTAACCCTGACCCTAACCCTGACCCTAACCCTAACCCTGAACCTGACCCTGACCCTGACCCTGACCCTGACCCTGACCCTGAAAAACGCACATCGGAATTAAACGCGGGAATCTTAACAATCAAGATTTGTCCGTTTAGGTTTTTCTCTATTTATAAAGAGGGGAAAAGATTGTCTAGAGACATTTTAGCCTTGCTAAAAAACAGAATACGTGGGTTCAAACACAGAAGCATTGTGCTGAACAGCTCACCAAGGCATAGCAAAGAGAAGAGGAAGAAAACAGCTTTTCTCTAAGATTTTTGGTTTAAAAAAATGTAATTTACTTTCTCAAATATGAGTAAATTTGTGGGGTTTTGTTTTGTTTTGTTTTATTGGCGTTTTAGTATCCATCAATTTGCCATTTTGTACAATATGGTCTTCTCTGAACCACCAGACGAAAACTTTATTCCTCGATATTGCAATAAGGTGGTGCTTTGTTAATTTACTGAAAATCGAAAGTTCAAATTGTTTTTTATTCGGCTTGCATGAGTGATTGACTGAAAGGAAAAAAAAGGGGAAAACAAACAGACAGACAGACAGACAGACAGACAGACAGACTGACAGACAAAGTAGAAGCAGATGACAAATATAGAAATCGAGAAAAAGAGACACATACGCATACATACACACGCGTGCAGGCATACAGAAACACCCAAAAAAACAGTAAAAAAGAGAGCGTGAGACAGAGAGAAAATGAGAGAGAGAGGGAGAGAGAGAGAAAGAGAGAGAGAGAGAGAGAAAGAGAGAGAGAGAAGGAAAGAGAGAGAGGGGTAGGGAGCACCAGCGATAGACAGATGTATACAAACTTCAAGCAGGGGAAACAGTAAACAAACTGTAACATAATATTGTTCCGCGACAGACCGACAGACAGACAGACAGACAACCAGACAGACAGACAGACAGACAGACAGAGAAGAAGCAGATGGCATATAAAGAAAGCGAAAAAAGGGACACTCAAACACATACGTACACACGTGCGCAGCATACAAAAACACATAAACATACAGAAAAAGAAAGAGAGAGAGAGAGAGAGAGAGAGAGAGAGAGAGAGAGAGAGAGAGAGAGAGCGCGCGCAGCGATAGACAGACATCTAGCCAGGGAGACAACAAGCAAACTGCAATATAATATTGTTCCGCTACTGTTTGTTTTGCCGGCCCATTTTCTAGAGTACATGTAAATATACAGATCTATTATTATTATTATTTTTGTATCGCCCACGATCTCACATACTTCTCTGTGAAAGAACATGCATAGACACACAAATGCACGGGTTATATCATATTAAAGACATCCCACTGGGTCATTATTATATTTTGAATTAGAAACCCATAGATCTAATAATGGTTCAAAGTTCATAAACACTTTTAAAATCCGACACGTTTTTCTATGTTTACATTACTTATGCTCACTACCGTGGTTTTTTTTTTTTTTTTTTTTTTTTTTTCTAATTAGAATTGATGCGTAATACAGCACAATTGTGACCGTCTTTTTCATGCAGCTCCAGATCAATAAACACATCATCTCTTTCAAACCTTATCATGATGCCCATTTTTGTATTATTGCAATAAATGTTCGTCTATATTATACTAGATCTAGTGCACACATGAGGTATTCGTGTACGCCAAAATCAGAGGGTTATGATACCTTGACAAAGTCCATGGGTAGAAAACTCTGATACAACAGATGTTGATTTGGCATGCATTTAATGCTCCTTATAACACCATGAGTTATTTTAAGAGAGTGGAACATAATACTTCAGGTCCGTCTACGCTTGGGCAAACCACGCGAACGTAAAGCCTTGAAACGAATCCAAACAACCCTAATTCAGGGACCCCGTTGGTGATTCAAACCATGGTCGTTGGCAATATAATGCCACCACAGCTATCAGAACATCCAACAGAAAGCTCTTTTTTTTTCTTACTAGAGGTTTTACGGCACTCGCAACTGCATAAGGTACTATGAGTGCCTGAAGATTAGAGGTGTTACAAGAGAGTAATAAATATAAAAAAGAAAAAGGGGAGATGAGGATGAGAGATGTTTCATAGGAAAGAAGAAGCAAACCACACCAGAGCACCCGCCAACCACCCACTGCAGAAAGCTCTGCAGACGTAATATTCCGACTTGTGTTACACTAGCTCGATCAGAGCATAAACTCAATACACGTGAGGAACGTTGTCAATACTCCATTGTTCATGTGCTTTTCATAGTGCAACTCGATTTTCTTTACCCTGCTGCGTGGGAAACTTTCAATTGCCTCCCTCTAAGGGAAAATGGGTCACATTATTGGTGGCTGCTACCCATAACTAACTACTTCAGTTCCACCCCCCCCCCCACACACACACACATGCGCGCGCGCGCACACACACACACACACACACACACACCCACACACACACACACACAAATACGGGTGACATGAGCATCGTCTCAAATGTTTTCAACATTCTTCACGTTAAAAAAGATGTAAATGAAAATGTTTCACCTCCCCACCGACACAATTTAGACCTTTTTGGAGGCAGCTGCTTTGATTGAGCCTGTCAGGGCTGACCTGGGCTGAAAGGGACACAGTATCACACAGAATAAAGCCGAGAATACTCAATTTAAAAAAAAATAACTTCCTCACATAAGAATCAACATACGTCTTCTACGTGCGACGAAACAAAGCCCAATCTCTACACCGCAGACGCTAGTTCGCTTTCGTAACACTTCTTTGTGCGTTCGTCTGCATAGTTTGATCTGCACCTCATCATAGACGGGGCAAGTAAAAAACGTTTACTCCGATTCAGTAGCCGCGGTTAGTCTCGAGATTTGTTGTTATCACAGCATGGCTATGCATTAACAAATCTACACCGGCGCCTGTGGTGTAGAGGCACTTCGCTGTCACACGCAAGAGACAAAGGTTCGATTCCCGAGGGGTGGGGGGGGGGGGCGGGGACTTTTATCAGTTTATCGGCCTTACTACTCTTTCAACCCAGATTGGCCCAAACACAGGTTGTGTCGAAACCTGCCTCCGAAACATTCTAAACTGTGTCCATGCGGGCGTAAAAAATACCTACATTTATTTAAAACAACTCAGTTTACTCCTCGATTGCTCTAAATCCTTATACGATAGTCTCCGCCTAAGATGACAACGCTAACTGTCCCGGTACTTAAGATCCCGCTGTTTTAAGAAAACAAAGATCCCGCTCTGATTCACTCTGTAGGTCTACATTCGGCCAAGACTAAGATCCCGCATTTCAGATCGTAATTTACAGAACAAAAGCCCGGGCGTGCACAGCCGATCTACCAAGAGTGAAATGTTGCGATCGATGAACTGCCCATGATGTCTAAGATCAGTCCCTCTCGTGAATATGATCACATAAACCTTCATGTAAAACTTGATGAAACTATGCAATGTTTGCCCCAGACGATATCACACCGAGGTGTAAACTGACCGACGCGTTTCTTTTCCCCAAATATTGTACTCGTATCTGCTGAGGTCTCCAGCTAAACTTACAAGGCATGCTTAAAATGGCATGCCTCATGCCACTAGGACTGGTCATCAAGGTTGACCACTCTTTGCTCGCTATACATGCTAAATAAACCTACCCAGGGGTCACGTCGGTTCACTCGTACATCACATCGCTGGATGGGTAGGGCCTACAAGTTCGCTCCACGCGGGGTCACATCGAACCGTGAACTCTTCCCTGACCATTGCAACAGTTTTGTCTAGGCCTATTCTCGAATTTACGAGACAAAATGAATTTTAATTGGTGTGGTCACAACGTAATGATGCATGTTCCTACAAAGACGGGAGAACTCGGTCAGAGATGGAAAACTATATATTATAAATTTTGGACAGGTAAAGGGGACTGGATAAGCATGGATT